AACCCCTGCTGTCTATGGACCTACGACAGGTCTACCAACTGCCTACGAATACACAGATCACAGGTTCAATTCTCGGGGTCTACACAGATACTGTACATGGGTAGGGTGAGGTCTAGGGATCGAACCCTGGGTACTGCATCCGCTACTGCTAAAAGGTGAAAACCGTTTCATGGTGATGAAGCTCCTCTTGGAGGCTGTGCTCATCCAAAAAAACACGTGTTATCTGCGAGTACATGGTGCTGTTCGTGTGTTCGCAGGGAGCAATCCTGTGTGTGTGTGTTTGTGTGCAATCAATTGATTTTTATTTATTTATTTTGCAATCATTTGATTCTCTTTGTGTGTTTGTGTGCTTGCAGATCTTAACAGACATGGCTGTCCCAGTTGAGCTATCGGACAGGGACTCTCTAGTAAAAAGTGCTAGCACGGCATTGAGCAGCAAGGTATGGGCCAATGGTCACTTTCAGCCAAAGTGCCACTGCATGTAAAGCAAGTAGGTCGCTGCTATATGGTGACAACACTTGAGAGGTATCATTAAATGTGTCGATCCAATGTGCAAAGGGACCCAAAGGGAGATAAAGGGGTGATTTTTTGGTGGTGCTCTCAGGATCGTGTCGTCCAGATGATGGGCCTCACTCCACTACTCACCAAATGTGCAAACTAAGAATGAACTTTCCATGGAAACGTTGAAAGATTCATCGTCATTTTTTTTGTCTTTTGTGTACGTCGAGAGTAGTGGAGCGACCCCCCCGTATATCCCAAACTATCGACAAGCCATGAAGAGTTGGGCCAACCTCAGCAGACAAAGGAAAAAAATTGCTGCCGTCGGACCACCAGGAGGATGATGGACCGACTGAAAAAGAGCAAGGCTTGTGGTAACGAGGGCCGTTGTGAAAGGTAGTGGAGCTCTGACCCATCACGTTCATCTGGCTAGGTAAACTCGTGATTACATATTTCAAGCTATGTCTCAAACCTCCGGCTACCTATTTGGGCCTCGTGGATGATTTTTGGTAAGGAGGTGCCAGTGTGAGGTAAAGTGAGTTCTAGAAGAATGGGTGGTGTGGGGTGGGGTGGGTGGGTTGGATGGGATTGGGGGTGGGGTAGAGTAGGTTAGGTGGTGTGGGTGGTGTGGGTTGGGGATGGGGATGGGGTGGAGGTGGCTCTGAGGTGGGGTGGAGGTGGGGTGCAAGGGGTAGGATTTGGGATGCAGTGGGGTGACGTTGAGAACCCTGCTGGCGACCCCCATGCCATCCCACCTCACCCCACTCCGCCTCACCCCACTCCACCTCACCCCACACCTCCCCCAGCCCACCGCTCCGCATGTCATGTGGGCCCAGGGGTCGGGTGGAGCAGTGTTGGGATGGGTTGGTGACTGGGTGAAGGTGGCCATAAGGTGGGGTAGGGTGAGAGGGGTAGGGTTTGGGATGGAGCGGGGTGACTTTGGGAACCGTGCTGGCAAACCCCATGTCATCCCACCTCAATCCCCACCCACCTATGTAACCCCACCGCACACGACCGCACCTCGTCCTGTTGCTATGCCCATCCTCAGGGTGGTGGTTATTGAGGGCTTGGTGATCCTGGGGGAGTTGAACCCTCGGCTGGTGATCCTGGTTGGTGAGTGATGCCTCGTGCAATCCTAGTGATTAGTAGCTTTCGTCTTTCTGATCAGAGGTCTTTTTGGAGCCGGGTGTGCCTGGAGTGTAGGGCATAAAGTTACTTAACCCGCTTGCCCCGGAGGGTGCTCGGCGACTGCTGGCCGCGGATAACTGATGGCCAGGAATCACTGTCCATTGCAGATTTTTACGAGTGTCACGGGTGCTTCCCCCGTCAACACCGGAAAGGAACACTGTGAGTGAAGAGAAACCTGTTGTAAGGAGTCCGGACAATGTGTCAGTTCTGTCTTTTGCAGCATTTTTCTCTGAAGTTGGAACACTGAGTGAAGAGAAACCTGTTGCAAGGAGTCCGGACAATGTGCCAGTTCACTCTTTTGAAGCGTTTTCTTCTGAAGTTGGAATGTTCAGGGAGAAGTTGTAATAGTCCTGGATTACAAGGATGATCTGCAAAATGGAGAAAATGCGACAGCATTCCCTGGAACGCAGTGCACACTAATCATGAATGTACACAGTTCATCCATCCTTTTGAATTCAGTCTTGATGAGGTGGGCAGCCCCCTTGTGTTTGAGGGAACGCAGTCGTGATGAGGGTGCCCCCTTGTCATCTGGCGAAACAGGGTAATGGACCATGAATGCCTTGTGCTAATTACTCTCTCTCTCTCTCTCTCTCTCTCTCTCTCTCTCTCTCTCTCTCTCTCTCTCTGTCTGTACTGCTTTTGTGTGGGATAACCGGATGCAGGTCGTCAGCCAGTATTCCTCTCTGCTTGCGCCCATGGCAGTCGATTGTGTTCTTCATGTCCTCGATCCAGCGCGCCCAAACTTTGTGGACCTGAGGGATATCAAAGTGCTGAAGAAGCTTGGTGGAACGGTGAGTTAAGCTGTTGTTATCTGTTGCTGTAAATTTAGCAGGCCCCGCCGCAGCTCGTCGCCGAACTCACCTGACTGTGTGTTGCACTGTTTTTTTTTATTGGAAAACTAACCATCATTTTTTTGAGGAATCCTATATCACTACGTACATCCAGTCTTCCTTTCTTCCGTCCATTTGTCATTTCTTTCCTTGATTTGTTCCTCTGTTCCCGCCACCCTCCCCAGTTCTTGCTCCTGCCTCTGCTGCTCTGTTTTGGTCTTCCATTGAGAGCCCCTCCAACCTACCTTTGCTTGTGTTGATCATATTGCGCAGGGGTCCTTCGGCCTAACTGAAGGAAAGTGTGAGTGTGTGGAGGATGTATTCTTGTGACTTGCCTGGGGAAAAGTAACTGGACTGACACCTCCCAGATTGGATTTGAACCCAGGACCATGAGGACCTGTTAAAAAAAAAAAGGAAAAAAAAGGAGGAAGTAATGCGCACATGGGGACTTTGGCCTTTTGTTCCATTTCAGACCTTCCCCGGATGTGTCTCCTCCAGCCAATAGGATCCATTGTGGAAGGTCTGGCGTGAGTGATGCCCGGTTGGTGGCCTGCACAAACCTCTACTCGGATTGATGGGTGGGAGGGAGGGGCATTTGTGTGCTTGTTTCTCGACCGCCCTCGACCTTGAGGCCTGGTGAACCCAATGAACGCACTGCATAGTGGTGGCTCCACCTTGTACCCAGATAAGCAGCCAGCGAAGGAAAGCAGGCCGTTGTTTTTTTTAATGGAGTTGATGGCCATGGTGCCACCCATTTCTCGTGCTGAATACGGAATGAAAGGTGTCCTATGTGCCTACTTGTTGAATCTCTCTTTGAATGTGCTTAGTTACGTCAGCATTGGGGTACCCTCCCAGTCTGTGGATTCTTTCTGGCACTCCCTCCAATCGTGATAGATTGGGGAGAGAGTTAACCTGGGTTTGTTTGACTTGGATTCATTGTGTCTGCGATTGACGTGCAATAGGTTGATGATACAGAAATGGTGCAAGGTCTGGTCTTCGACCAGAAGGTGTCTCACTCGGCTGGAGGACCAGGACGGATCGAGAATGCAAAAATTGGACTGATTCAGTTTCAGATATCCCCGCCGAAGACAGATATTGAGCAGAGTGTTGTTGTTTCAGACTACTCTCAGGTAGGCGATGGAAATTGGCTCAACAATGCTTTGATTTGAGTGGGTAATTTGTATGGTGATGTGCCTAGTGTGTCTGTGTAGGGATGCGTCGTCGGGTGAGCTGTTGAGTGCTATTCGGATGGATGCCAGGTGTCCTTTTTGTAGATGAGGCAATGCTTGGTCTTGTTGCTCAATCAGGCATCTGAGCTGTCTGCAAGGAGGTTGTCGAAATCACATTTGTTGGGTTTTGCTAAGTAATGATGATTATGATGATTATGATGATAATGCTGATGAGAGTGAAGGTGAGGGATGCTGCGGATGCTGTTGTCCGGGCAGGAGTGTGACCGCAGCAGGAGGTTTGTCGGCCATGACGGAGTAAAAGCGGTGCGTGACTCCATCGTGTAATCGATACTGATGAACCCGGTTTTCAGCAATAATGAAAATACTTCTCATTTTCAAACGAAGTAAAAAAAGGGAGCGTGATTGCATTGTGTCTTTAAGGAGTTGGGCAACTTGCATGGTTGTGTTCTGCAGTGTCATGCTGATGCTGATGACGAGTGACAGTGACGTGGGTAAGTGCTGCTGATCTTATTTCTGTGCGGTGATCGCATCTTGGAGTGCGATGGTGATCTTGGAGTGCTGTGCAGACGGACCACATCCAACTGCATTGTGATGATGATGATGATGATGATATGATGATGGCGATGACTGTGTAGTTGACGAGTGCTGATGATCTTATTGCTGTGTGCAGATGGATCGCATCTTGAGGGAGGAGAGGAACCACATCTTGGGGATGGTGAAAAAGATAAAGGCTACGGGCTGCAACGTGTTGTTGATTCAGAAGAGCATTCTGCGAGACGCTGTGACCGACCTGTCGTTGCATTACCTTGCCAAGGCTAAGATTCTTGTCGTGAAGGATGTGGAGAGGGATGACATAGAGTTTCTGAGCAAGACCCTGAACTGCCTTCCCATTTCGAACATAGATCATTTCCGTTCGGAGAAGCTAGGCCATGCGAGTCTGGTCGAAGAAGTACCAGCTGGAACAGGAAAGGTGAGGTGTACTTCAAAAAAAAAAAAAAAAAGGTGGTTGGTTCTTCGCATCATCTCCTGGGTGCAATCGCAGGAATAATCGTGTTTGTATGTGGCCATTCTCAAGGGTGGGGGGAGGGGTCTCGGCTGCCAGCTTGTCTCCCCACGTCTAACTTCTTGACCCGAAAGAGCGCCCTGTCATTATCGCTGCATCTGGACTGAAAGGTGTGCCAAATGCAGCTATAATGACCGGGGGGTTTATTTGGGCGAAGACAGTAGCCCTGGAAAACCGGTATTCTGTTGTCCATACCTGTGGGTGCGTTTTCCGATTTGGGTTTGTTTTCTTTTTCTCATGCGGTCAGTCAAGTGAGCTGAGAGGCCGAAGGAAAATAAAATCAAATAAAAGAAAGGAAAATGCCGGAGCGCAGTTCACCGGCAGAGCAAAGCGGGTCTAAGTAGATTTAAACTTGCTGACTCCACACTTACCAGGCCTATACTCTAACCAACTGAGTCACAGGGGGTCCAATTTTGGGAAGACTTGAACTCTCAACCCCCAAATCCGCATTTCGGGGGTCTATCCAATTGAGCTACAAGCCTGGAAGCACATTCGTTCTGAGCTCCCTTTTGTCTAGGGGTAAAGGACATCGCTTTTTCGTGGCAAACACACGGGGGTTCGGGAAGGATTTTGACTATACCACCTTCGGCCCGAATAGAGGAGTAATCTTGTTCGTATGTGGCCATTCTTTGCGGTATCAGTCTGGGCTGCCGGTGGTTCTTGCCACATGTCCTATTCTAGAAAATTTGTGTTCTATTGTCCATCCGTATGTGTGGATGGCGTTTATTCTTTTTTTTTGG